ACTTTATATAGATAAAAGGAAAATTTAAATGCAATATTTTAGCCTTTCAAGTACGCAGTGTAGACTTCAATGCGAACACTTGAAATAAATGAATAAACAGACTATCTAATGAAGAGCCCTTAAGTGGTACATGACACTGAAATTCACAATTATGTAAATGTTGATTTAGGATGGGGTTTTGTCTTTTGTGTTTGTTTCATTGCATTACCAACATCTGAGGACAGGATTTTTTAAAATGTGCATAAGAAATACGACAATACTAAGTTGACATTTGAGCCGATGCTGAATTCTGACGTTGATACCAAATTTTAGAGAATTATAAATTCTAATATTGATATATTAGCCAATACTATACATATATATCTGTTAAATTAATATTGAGAGGAGAAAAGGATGAAGTCGCTGTTTATTAACCTTCCAACAATGTATTTTAGAAGCTAGTTAGCAGCTTAACACAAAGACCGCTTGACCACTGTCTGCTTTAAAAACAGAGTCGAAGCATATGGTGCTATCATACAAACTGGATGATAGCACCATTTCTAAATTACCCTAACCATCATTTCCTGTTACATCTGTGCACATCAGACAGCCAACATCCATCCATCATCTATACACCGCTTAATCCTCACAATGGAGTCTATCCCAGTTGACTTGGGCCAAAGGCAGGAGACACCCTGGACAGGTCACCAGTCTATCACAGGGCTACACTTAGAGACAGACAACCAAGCACACTCACATTCACACCTACGGACAATTTAGAATCACCAATTAACCTCATCATGTTTTTGGACTGTGTGGGAGGAAGCCGGAGAACCCGGAGAGAACCCACGCTGCATGGGGAGAACATGCAAACTCCACCAGGACACGAACAAGCGACCTTCTTGCTGCGAGGCAACAGTGCTACCAAATGCGCCACCTTGCAGCCCCACAGCCAATATCAACTAACCAATATACTAGTCTAATTGACACGTCTCATGCTTCTCTTACATGCCACTAGAGGGCAGTCACAAACTGACATTTTCTCATATCACAATGTGCTGCATATTGACAATGTTTTTCATAAATATTTATTTGAATAATCATCGCCAAGAACAATATCAGAGCAGTGCTCATTAAAACCAACTCAGTTTAAAAGCAGGTCAATTACACTGTATTTCTATTAGGAACACAGCTGAACATGTGTGGTCGTTTGTGATGGCTGGCATTGCGCGTCTGTCTGTGTATTGGTTTTCGTCCTATCGGGGTCATCTGATCTTTTCGGCGATGATGAGTCGCTCAGAGCAGAAAGGCCAAATAGTGTTTACCTTGTTCTGTGTGTTTACATGTATATGTGTCTTTTTTTTCTACAAATACGCTTCTGTTTCCCTGTCTCACCTCTCACCCCGCCCCACCCCGACCCCTTTAATGCACCCGCAGACACACTTCAATGGCAGGCGAAAGGAACGAGCAAAACGCTGAACAAACACAGGAGGAAAAAACCTTGGGGGGAATTCCTCGAAGTGAGCTAAGACATTCTGTCAGAACATTTACACACAAACACACGTATCCAAATACACAAGGGTGTACGCACATGGGCACATTCACAATGCTAAATGGACTAGTGAAAGCTGCAGAGTCCCCACGAGCTTCAGGTTCGCTCCTGCACATGGAAACAACTATAATCACCAGCAGTCAATCAAATAACGGAACTAAGCTCTCATATTCCACATAAGCCGACTGTTGAGGCAAAAACACAGAGACGCACACACACACAAGCAGAGATAACTTCTGGGCAGAGTATTATTGTCAAACTGTATGCAGTGGATTAAAGAGCTGCTAAATCTAAGCATCTAACAACCAGCCAGTCTCAATAGCAGCTATCACATTGCCTGATAGTGTTTGTTGATCAAGAGATGAGCAACCTCACTGTGATCATATCAGTCTGATTTGATATTATCAGAACATACAAATTGTTTGACAAGTGTGTCAAGAGGTTCTTTATTGAGCCACTGCCCTTTTCTCATTGAGAGGCTGTGTTTAAACCAGTTACCATTTCATCTCTCCTACTCATGTGTCAGACTTATTGAACGTTTTTCGTTGAAATGGCCGAACACAGACTTCTGACCAGAGCACTCAGAAAAACAGTTGGAAACTGTTCTGTCAACTTTCCAATTTCGATTTACCACTGAAGTGTACAGTAACATATATCTGAGTCAGTGTCAGATGGCAGAAATCTGAGGAACAACCATCCCACTGTTGCCCTTTGCTCCCTTCACTTAATTCACAACACTAAATTCATATCCTGGCAATGTATTAACAGGGAGATTACAAACTTTTGATGTTGCAAGAATAAAGTTTTTGACATTAGGAGGAAAGTGGACTCGATTAAAATTGCAAAAGCTTATGAAACTGAAACAGCAAAGAACATTTCAACCTGTATCTAGTATTGCTGCTAATCGCTTACTAATATGCATGGCTACCAAACTGTTGCAAAATCCAGTTAAAGTTCTGTGAGCTCCACTGCCACAGTGTATTCAGCTGTGATGTAGATATAAATCCCACCTGTGCAGGTGTCTAAGCTGAGAGCAAACATGGCAAAGATAAAGTGGCAGTCTCTAAAGCTAAGCGAAAAATATTTCATCGCAACAAAAAGGCAATGGCTTACAAAAAAGACTTCCAACACACTCCAAGTTCTAAAAGACGCAGTTGGCAGCATCATAGTCAAGTTTAAATCTCATTGCAGAGCAGCAAACCTTCCAGGATATGGAAGAAAGAGCAAAATGTCCCTATGAGGAATCAGATGTTTGAAAATAACAGCTGAGAAAAACTCTGTATTCCTGCCAAAGATCTGCAGAAGGCCACGATGAAGGCAGGAACAAAAGCAGCAGTACACACTATGGAACACCAAGAAAGCAAGGACTTAATGCCTGGAAACCTTGACCAAAAAGCGAAAAAAAAGGCAACATGAACAGCAACAACAAAAAAAAAAAGGGCAACAGAAACGTGCGAGAAACGACTGCAAACATTTATTGAAAGTCATCGAGGTTATTGTTAAATACTGACTTTGACAGTTAAATAATTTTGCTTATGGGCCTTTTTGGAGAAAGTTTTATTTATCTGTAGTACATTCTGCCCTTCATGTGACTTATCAAACTATTTTCCAAAGCTTCAGTCGATGTCTTTTCCCTACATTATATTCACATCACTACAATGTCCTGCAGGTTTGATTGCAACTGCAGTCTTAGACTGACTCATTTCATAGTAACATTAAATGTAAAACGACAAACAAACAAAAAAACAAAAGACAAATAGCAACTACTAAGGAGATTTTCTGCAGAACTATGATGAAAAAATGTTGGAAAAGTAATAAAATCTTTCATTGCTGCAGTGTTAAAAATGTGAAAATTGGTGCTTTAATGATGCCTTCTTCTGATCTTTCCAGTTTCATTCGTTTTCTTTTCCCATTGTGTGAGAGAACAGGCATATTTTACCCTGCTGATATTTTGAACCTTGACCAGACAGAGCTGGTGCAGCTGTTGTCTTTAAAAGCATGATTTTTTTTTTGCAACAAGCCATTTCTTTATCACTGTTCACTCCTTTTTTTTCTTTTTTGTCCTGATCCATCTCACAGTGCTGCTACAGCACAGCTGTCACTCTGCAGCAACTACTTGGATGTGCCACATCATTTACAGCATATACACATACTTTTGACTAGCAAAAGGTGTGCATTTGGCAGGTTGCTATCAGTGAAGTATATGTGGATGCTTCACGGTCTGATTCAACAGATAAAACTCTGATACTGACATCAAAATGTGATTCGACTTACTGCCAGGTTTGGTTCAAATGATTCATAAAATGTTTAATCATGAGCAGATGAATGCAGCAACCGAAAAATAAAGAAAGAAACAGAGGCAGTTTTCGAGGTATTTGATAGGTAGCAAAGGTCACAGAAATGTAGGCTATTTAATGTGTAAACCGTCAGACTGTGTTAGTCTTTTTTTTTTATGAACACACACACACACACACACACAGAAGTGTTTGGTGAAACAGGCCTCGGGAGCAGCCATCCAGGTTCGAACCTAATACAGTGGTATTTTCATGTTTCCCAGCCAAAAGCAACCCTGCAGCTGAGTGTGTGTGTGTGTGTGTGTGTGTGTGTGTGTGTGTGTGTGTGTGTGCGGTGTGTGTGTGCGTGCGTGTAATCAAAGGTACTGCACCATGACTTCAGCCTCAGGGCCAAGTGAAAAGTAAGCATGGCACACCTCCAGGAAGTTATATAGGCAAGTGGTTCAGGGAGTCTGAAAACTTCAGCTTCAATGAAGGCAGAGATGCACTGCAGCAGTGACCAAGTCCCACTAAAAGGCTACTGGCACCCAGTTGAGACATGCAGCAGGCATTTTATTCAGTTTGCTCTTCCTCTTTCTTAATAGCTTGGTTTGCACCTCCTTCACATCATTTAGCTTTCACCACCACTCTGTGACTGCTCCCCTTTCTCTCTCTTAACAAGTTTTCATTGTGCCAACCAGTCTTTCACCACAACAAACCATTTCAGTCACAGAAAAATAAAAATAAAAATACTGTCAGCTACAACAAGACAATCAGGCGATGCAAGGGAAGTATTTAAACACCTCAGCTTGATCATTTCACATCATTACTGGAAGTAGAAAGGACAAAAACAGACCTAATGTTGCACTTTTACAAAAACAGATAACTCCATCTTCCCAAACCTTCAGAAAACCCACTTTTCCATCATCTACCTGAGACAACATCAATCAAACTTAATTTATCTCTGTTTTTCACATCATTTCTACTGAGTCACATCCACTGAACTTCAGTTTGATTGATATTATCTCAAGCAAGCAACACACAAAAAAAATAAGTTTTCTGAAAATCAACAAAAATGGAGTGATCTGTGTTTGTAAATGAAGTCTGCACTTATGAAAAGAACAGTGCACTTGTAAAGAAAAGGCCTACAGTCTCAATACGGCTGGAATAATGAAACATGAAAGAACAGATCTCACCGTCTCTCCTGTTGTTGCCCCTCATCACTTTGGCAGGGGAGACCTGAGCCCTCCCGACCCCGCTTACAGTCCCCAACAATAAAACCATCCACATCTGGAACACCACCGGTCCTCTCATGGTGCTGACCAACTCCTCTTCACCTTCCAGTGGCGCGGGTTAAAAGATAATCTACTTACAATTCCCCCGCAATCAACTTTCAACTTGGACTTTTCAGTATCTCCCTCCTCTACCCGCAAACAAGAGCCACTTGTTGACTCGTTGCGCCTGACGCCTGGCGCGGACCACGTCCCGAGTTGTGCCAAAGTGCCAAAAAAAAAAAAGTGTCGAAGCGCGTTTGGCTTCCTCGAGAAAGTTAAGCGCCCGCAGACAGCAAGAGAAAAACTCCGAAACAACTGAAGCGCAGGTGGAAGGTAATATAGCTCCGTTCACGGTCAGTCATGAGGTTACGGGCGCCCGACTTCTTATCACCTTGAAGGCAAAAGAATTTTTTTTCAGTCACTGAGAAATATCCCGCATAGTTCGGTGGTTTCTATCTAACGCATCTGCACTGTGCAAGTCTGCGCGTCAAAGTTTGCCAACTGACTGCTGCGCGCTCACGATGAGTGTGTGTGTTGGTGTGTGTTTGTGTAATGTGGGTGTGTAACTACGCGAGATGCCGGGACGGGACGTCAGAGAGGAAGATCAAAAAACACCTTAAAGTACACTTTAGTGCGTAAAAATCTATCTATCTATCTATCTATCTATCTATCTATCTATCTATCTATCTAAACTAACTTCTTTCCTTCCTGCTGGCACGCACCTTTGCAAAGTAAAATAGAAAGGAAACATCCCAGAAATTAAGGGAAGGCAGGGAAGTTCCTGAAGTCATTTCTTGAGTATTTGACTCAGTGACTAATTATAGGATGCACGGAAATTCATAGAACAACATGTTTTCATAGCAGTAAGCAGAACAAGCACTTACTGTAAATGAGCCCGTTTATCCATCCTCCTTCTGACACAGAACACAACAGAAATGTGTCGTCCCCTGTGCAATGTCACCAAAATGATTCAAAATAGTCTCACATAACAAATAACTCAATAAACTTGACAAATGCTATGTTTCTTCTTATAAACAGATGACTATATTGAAACTACAGGCTCCAAAGTAAAAACCCAATGCATTAAAAGTGAAAACACCTGTAATCACTAATACACAAGTTAGAAAACCTGTGACCATTAAAACCAGACTTAGTACACATGTGACAAGCATAATCGTATGGACATTATTAGAAAATGACCAATGGACCTATAAGTTATGTCTGTCTGCACGTCTGCTCCCGTAAACTAATATTTTGTTGAACAACCCTTTGAGCCAATCACTGCAATCAGGTGTTTTCTGTAACTCTCAGTGAGACGTCTACACCTGTTGACAGGTGTTACGTCCCCGTGAGCTAGGGGATGAGGGGAGTAACAAGAGAAAAACAAAAATTGGGTTAAAGGGACCAGGAAAATCATTGTTCAATAAAAAATCAGGTTTATTTTACAAACAAACGAAAAGAAGAATGCAAATTAGAGCGAGCTTCCTGAAAACGAAGCCGATCCTACGATTACCAAACAACACAACAACCACTGAGGTCGGCTCAGCTCTTTAACTCTCTGGTGATGAGTGCAGAGCAGCTGCACCTGGACGCTCCTTCTGGGCATCACCTGAAAGGGAACTACATAAAGTACGCACCAATACGGCCCACTGCTCATCAGCAAAGTGCTCTAATTTGTGTTTTTATTATTATTCTTTTCAACCACAATTCAAAAGAAATGTTGTATTTGACTAAAATATATTTTAGCAAATTTTTATTTATTATTACTTTTTTTTTTAGTTTCCAGTTATTTGAGTGACTATTGTGAATTTTTCCTTTTCTTTAATGGAAAGGTATGAATACATTTGAGTACGACAGTAGAGGCAGAACTAAAAATAGGTGGAAACCTGTTGCAACAGTGATCAGGAGGTACAGAATGAGTCACATTGATCAGAACTATTGCTACTCGCATGTTTTAACTTCGGCAAAAGGACAGGCAAGCGCTTCAAAGTTGAGTTGACACAGGTCAGTACGTAAAACCTGGCACAGTGTGTAACAGTAATTCATTTGAACAGTGGACATATTTGTTTGTACGGTCCAGCATGTTTGGGAGTAAACTGGCCACAACAACCACAGTGAATGCATGGTCCTGACAGTGAAGCTCAGTGTGGTGATATGGGGATCTGCATGAGTGCAAAAGCTGTTGGGGAGATGACATTTGTAGATGGCGCCATGAATGTTGGATATACTGCCTGACAAGATGACTCCCACTCAGCAGGCGATTGACAGAAGTGGAATATTTCAGCATATTAATGATCCACACTGCCAACACCACACAAAAGTTTTCTAAAGAAGAAAAAAGTGAAAACTATGACCTGAGCCAGCATGTTGCCTGACTTGAATCCAAAAGAACACCTTTGGGGTATTATAAAGAGAAAGACAGTCCAATACAATCCTTCCAGCGAATAGCAGCTGAAAATAATTGTTTCTGAAGAAAGTCAGAACATCTCTCCAGAAATTTGCTATCTCACTGCCAAGGAGGATTAAGTCTGTCTGTCAAAATAAAGTTGGACATATGAAGTTTTGAAAAAATAAAAGATTTGAATCTCAGTAGTGAAATGTGCACTGACTTTTGTTGTTGTCGGCAGAATAAATCTAAGCTGTTAGGTTTTAATTTGACGTAAGCGCAAATGTCCCACTGTTCAGCTAAATGCAATTACAGTATGGTGATAAAATTTTGAACCATTTGTCATTTAAGCAATTTTGCACAGGGATGTACTCACTCTGTTGTACACTGTATCACCTTCTTCAGGTAACTCACTTTTGAAAATGTGATGTTGCAACTTATCTAACACAACATAAGTTACGTAATAAATCCTGGAAATGGATCGTCAGGAATCACTCAATAGGCAGCATTGAGTAAACGCAGACCATTTCAGGCAGGCGTTATGTTTGAAGTAATTTCAGAAAGTAAATTTCAAAGTGATTTATCCACCGCTGTGAAATGTCAAGGTTTTACATGCTGTATTTGCAGTGAAACAAAACAGTTCCTTCAACATTTCATCACAGATGTGTTAACTTAATTCCCCCTAAGGCACACTCACAGACAAGTTTAATCATCCTCTTGGTTCAGCTGCTGTTTTTGTCACTTTCTCACTCATTCTCTGGTCACTCACTTACTGTTAGCAACTCCGCTTTCATTTCCTGTCAGTCGTGTCCACGCACACCGTCACATCTAATTCTGAGAGTTATTTGGACTTTATGGGATGAACTTGCCAACTTAAGGTTTCTGCCGATTCAGCACAAAGCCCTCCCATTACCCAGCAATTGGCTGATGACTAATGCAGCACCTTTAAAACTTGGAACCACTTAGGGAATTATATAGGTTATTAATAGAGAGAGGAAATTAATTAAAATTAAAAGCTATTAGACTACCCTGCTGAGCTTCAAAGGCATATGCACCCGGGGAATGAATTTGTAAGTACACATAAAGATCGCTGGCAGGCACAAAAGTATCATACACCATGAGGACACACACACACACACACACACACTTGACTCTTCTTACTGCATTGAAACTATAACTTACCAAGACGGCAACAACAGACTTAACATGACTTGAAGAAAATAAATCACATTAATGGTAAAAACACAGACCATGTGATAACCATGTTGCTGCAACAGGGAGTACGGTAAATGCTACTTTACAATAAGGCTGTTCTGTAATACTGGCTTTAATGTGGTGTAAGAGCATTAATACTATTCAGTGGATTACAGCGCAATGCCAGTAGCAGATATAATCTTTCTCTTACTGTATTTTCCACACCTTCTCCTTTCAATGTGTGTGTGTGTGTGTGTGTGTGTGTCCACAGCATGTGTCTGCATGAATGATCTTGCATTTGTCTTGTCTTCCCTGAAGCGACCACACAGTGCATAGAACTTCTGTACCTCTAATGTTTATGCGTTTATATATGAAGGTGTCAATATTGCTAAACAAAACTTTTGTTGTATGGAAGTCAGACAGAAAAATAAGAGTTGTTTACCTGATTTACTTTAGTGGTCCAGAGTACGTGTACAGATTTCCCCCTTTGGTTTAGGAGGATGTCTTTAGCACCCACACACTGAACAAAACACTTGGTGCCTAATTTTCTGGTAGCACACCCGATCTAGCAGAAGTTAGTGGTTTGTGAGTGGCCTTGTCTCTGCTTTGTGTGACACATCATCCACTCTAAGTCTTCAAAAAATTTAATATTGTCGAACTTTTTTTGAAAGAAAAAAGTGCCTATTCACAGATACTTGAGTTCTCGACCATGAGGAAGGTGTAGATGTCATTTTAGGAATTCCTAACAAGCTAGCTGAATTGTTCATAGGAAAAAAACATAGCAGACTAATTTTTATTCAAAGCGTTTTCTTTAAACCTCCTTCAAACACTTCTGATGGGGATCTCTTATCCATTTTTATGTTATCAAGTCACTTAAAATTATTCTAACTTTAACCTTATTCAGGACTTTCATGTTGCCATACGTAGAAGGTCTTTCAGGGTCCATTGGACCCCAAGAAAGAGTATGTGCAAAACATTTGTTGATATTCATTATAGATTTTTATGTTATGTTAAATACATTTTCTGATAGGTTAATGTATGTTTGGCTCCAAGTGTGTGACAAATGTCCCTCTTTTTATGGTTAAAAAAAAATCTTCACAAATAGAAAAACAATACCTGTCACTTAAACCAAAGGGCTAGGGGTCCAAAAGACCCCAAAAGTCCTAAATAGGCTTAAAAGATGCAACTAGATTGTTCAGAGTATCTTGGAGAACCTGCCAAATTTCCTCTGTGGATTTCAGCTGTCTCACTGGTCTCTTCATGTAATCCCAGACTAAGTCTATGATGGAGAGATTAAAACTCTGCAGGGGTCATAATATCTGTTGCAGAGCTCCTTCTTCTTCTTGTTGTCGGAGTCAGTTCTTTATGAGTCTGGCTGTATGTCCGGGGTTGTAGTTGTGTGCTTCAGAATGAATTAAGGACTGATCATATCCTGTTCAGCCCTGAGCTATTTTTCAGGCCTCTGCTCGAAAATTACATACCCATAATAACAACAGTTTATCTCTGCAACCACAAGGTGTATTTGAATAATTCTTGTGTCGTAATAAAAGAAACACTTGTAAGATTTGTTCAAATGTGTAACTATCAGTATATATGTAACTGGTTAAAAGTAAATGTAGCTGGCACACACACAAATGAGAAATTTTCAGTTTTGCCAAAAAAAAAAAAAAAAAGCACTTTTAGGATAGTTATCTCTTTGGAATGATCCAGCTGCAGCTCTAAACCTCTACCAAATCATAGCACATTATGCAAACATTCTCTCTGCAAAGGTTGACTCTGATAAAGTGAAGCAGAACGAAATGACAAAGTTTTTAGTCCAGACAGTTCAGGCGAGGTGACATTTTTGCACACTTGTTACCATCTGAATTTTCTTATGTACAAACTATATATTTCACTTATATATCACTAAT